CTGGACATTTCACATAAATAGAATCACGTGGCCTTTGTGTCTGGCTTCTCTCACTCAGCGGAAGGGTTCTAAGGCTTCTCCCGGCTGTAGCAGGCATCCAAGCATCAGTGCTTTTTATGGGCAACTAATATCCATTGTGTGGATACACCATATTTTGTTTTTCCATTCATCATTGGAGATTTTGGTTATTTCTGCTCTGGGGCTATCAGAAAGGTTTTTTTTTAAAAAAAAAACAAGTCATTGGCTGGTCCAAATGTAGTGAGTTATCTCACTTGATTGTTCACAGTTACAGGTTGAACTCCTTGTTCTGCTACTTCCCCCCTTCTCAATACTGCACTGGGCTAGTCAAAAAAAAAAAAGTCACATGTTGTCACCCCCCTGCTTAAAACCCTTGAATGGTATCACAACATATTTCAAATGAAGCTTGTTGCCGTGGCCTGTCAGATTCTGGATGCCATGCCCCTGCCTCTGTCACCAAATTTTTCTGCTGCTACTCTCTCCTTAGCTCGCTGTGGCTTCTTTGTGTTTCCTGAACACCCCACACTTGTTTCCACCTCAGGGCCTTTGCACTTGCTATTCCTTCTTCTCTCTGCCCGGGATGCTCTGAAATGCCCTTGTTCGTGTGTCTATTGCCTCCCTCGTCCTAGTAGAATATTTAGCCCCAAAGAGGACGTTCCTTGTCTGTCTTCACTCCTGTGTTCCCAGGCCAAGAATAGCTCCTGGCGCATAGGAGGGAATTAGTTTGTTGAGAGGCCCAAGCTTAAGCTACTCCTGCAGTGGCACCAGAAGCCTCAGTTTCCCCAAGTGACCCTTTACTCCCAAATGCTGGTGCTAGTATTGGCTACCAAGATGTTAGAGGTTGGGTTTGGGGAAAATCACCTGCGTCTCCAGGGTCCCAGATGAAGAGAAACACACAAAATAGAGCCACATCTCTCCCTGGTTTAAGCCTGTCCCTGGTAAAGCCGGAGTGGAAAACCCTAACTGGATTTTACTCCCTGGAGAGCAGCAGCGCCCCCTGCAGGAGCGAGTGTGCCCCAGGGAGACAGGAGGCAGAAGAGAGGGAGCTCCCAGCCGGCAGGCAGGGTTTGTGTGTGAGAGAGACAGAAAAAGTCATGGACACTCCAGCAAGTTTCAGGCCACTGGACCTTTGCCTCTGCTGTTCCCACCCTCTGGAATGTTCTTCCCTGGCTACTGTGACTGGCAACCTCCTGAACTCAAGGCCCAGTCAGAACTCCACTCTGTGAAGCCTCTTCTGAGTCCTCCTGACAGTCGGGGGACCTTCCTCTGCTCACACCCCTCCCTCAGTGCGCTTGCCCCGGGGGAGCGGGTGTCCACTGACTCATCTAGAGGAGCAGAAAGTCCGCTTTGTTCTCTGATGGACCCCTGATCTCCAGCACAAAGCACAGTAGACCCTCAATAAATAGTTACTGACCAGATGAATGAGCTCCCTGCTAACCTCCGAGACCCTCAATGTCGTGCATGGCCAATGCATCACTTACCTTGCCGTGGTTTCCATTTGCTGCCAGTTCCCAGATGCCACCCTTGCCCACTGGAGGAGCCAGAAAAAAGGTGCCAAAGACATTCTGTAGGGCCACCCCCGGCCAGAACTGCCCACTGGCCCAATCTCCCAAGGCCCTGCTCTGCCCAGGGTCTTGGTTTGGAGACAAGCCCTCCCAGGAAGGGTGCCCAGCAGCAGGAACCTGGCCCTGCCCCACTGCCAGTGCCCAGAGCTGATTCTCCTCAAAGCTGGACTCCAGACCTCAGGACTGGTCCTCTTCCCAGAGGCTTGCTGACCTGAGCCAAGTCTCATAAACCCACCTGCTCTGCGCCCTCTGGAGCTTTGAGAGGCACCCTGCACCCCAGCAAGCCCCCGCAGCCCATCTCTTCGGTGCTGGGCAGCAAGGACCAGTGGGGCATCTGTGTCTTTAACAAAAAGCAAGTGTAAAAAATAAAAGTAATCTGGCAAAGGAAACTTCCCTTGTTTATTTTCCAGGGGCCTTAGCTCATCAATCTTCCCCTGCTAACCTGCTTTGTGCTCTGTTAGTTTGCTTCCTGATAGAACAGAATTTGGTTTTCTAATAGCATCTGTCCTGTACAGGGTGTGCCCAAACATTAGCAATAATGACTTGGGGCCGGGCGCGGTGGCTCACGCCTGTAATACTAGCTCTCTGGGAGGCCGAGGCGGGCGGATTGTTTGAGCTCAGGAGTTCGAAACCAGCCTGAGCAAGAGCGAGACCCCGTCGCTACTAAAATTAGAAAGAAATTAATTGGACAACTAAAAATACACAGAAAAAATTAGCCGGGCATGGTGGCGCATGCCTGTAGTCCCAGCTACTCAGGAGGCTGAGGCAGGAGGATCACCTGAGCCCAGGAGTTTGAGGTTGCTGTGAGCTAGGATGATGCCACGGCACTCACTCTAGCCCAGGCAACAGAGAGAGACTCTGTCTCAAAAAAATAAAAAATAAAAAATAATGACTTGGAAGTGGCACAGTTGGAAACCTTCGGAAGCCAACACCAGATGTCAGGCCCTCAGTGGGTCACTCTGAGGACATGGGGCCAGAGCACAGGGCAAGGGCTGGGTCAAGCCCACAGCCCTGGAAGATCCCTGGGAGTCATTCATCCAACAGACAGCAGAGTGCTCACTATGTGCCAAGCCCTGTGCAGCACTGGGAAGACAGGGCCCTGCCTGCATGGTGCTGTCGTCACTGGCTACCAAAGGACAGAATTGGCACTGAGGCTGGGCGAGGTGGCTCAGGCCTATAATCCTAGCACTCTGGGAGGCTGAGGCGGGAGGATTGCTTGAGGTCAGGAGTTCGAGACCAGCCTGAGCAAGAGCGAGACCCCGTCTCTACCAAAAACAGAAAAATTAGCCGGGTGTGGTGGTGTGCGCCTGTAGTCCCAGCTACTCAGGAGGCTGAGGCAGGAGGATCACCTGAGCCCAGGAGTTTGAGGTTGCTGTGAGCTAGGCTGATGCCATGGCACTCTAGCTGGGGCAACAGAGTGAGACTCTGTCTCAAAAAAAAAAAAAAAAAGAATTGGCCATAGAGACAAACCTCCTGCCCCCAATTCAGTCAGCTGGGCCATCCTTGGGAGGCCTGAGAGGCAGGATGCAGGAGATTTGGACTCAGACAGACCTGGGTACCTGGGTGCCAGAGCTCAGGCAAGCAATCCTTACCTCACCAGGCAGCTTTAGAACAAAATGAGACAACCCTCGTAAATGGCCCAACTCCAAGTTTAGCACGTAGGCGGTGCTCAGTACCCATCAGACACCCCAGCTCCCAAAACCGGACAGGTGCACAAGCACTGGGGGTGGTGGGCGTCTGCAAAGACGGCTCCCTGGGCTCAGAGCTCCTGTCTAGAGGCTTCTGCAGCTGCCGCCCTCTCCTGGGAAAGTGCAGACAGAGCCATCCCTGGGGTTCCTGGAGGCCTTGATACATACAATGGAGGGGACCCCCAAGGAACCAAGGCTCCTGGGGATTGACAGGCATGAAAATATTTTCTCAAACTCCACCCACCCGGGTTCCCGAGGCTCCTCGCCAAGGATGCCTCCTGCAGAGGAGAGGGTGTTTGGTAACAGCTGCAGCCTCCCCGCCCCCAGGAGGGCCCCTTCCCACTCCTCCCTATAGATGTGGACATCGGGCCCAGCAGATGAAGGTTTGGGGGCTGGACCCCCTGTGCCTGGAACAAGGTAGTTCTCCGTAACTGAGGACTCTGCAGAGGCGGCCCTCCAACTGGACGCCGACAGGAAGGAATTTCTTTTTATTTTTCTTGTAGATGACTGAAGAAATGTTAGAAAACAGGTGGGATAAGGACGGAGGGTGAGCGCCCCTCAGCGGCTGGAGGACGGGCTGTGCCCTCCCCCGGCCCCCTCACACCTGCCCACGGAGGTCGACCTGAGGCCTTGGTGCCCACTGCGGCGCCTTCCCCGCAGGACCCCGCGGGACGTGTGGCCCTCTGCCCGCTCGGCCCCGGCCCCTTCTTCGTCCCAGTCCCCAGGCTGCAGTTGATGGGCCGCAGGGCCTGGGGTAGGTTTGGGAAACTGCAGAACAGGAAGGAGGCGCGGAGAGGCAGGGAGGGGGCCGGCAGTCCCTCGCGGGCGGTGCGGACGCGCTCGGCACCTACCGGCGCCCACTGCGGATGAGCCCCCGCGCCAGGCGCCGCCCGGGTCCGCGGTGCCACCCGGGGCAGACCCCGCCCGGGCCCTCGGCTGCCCCGCCCCCGGCCCCGCCCGCGCGGGCCGCGAGTCGCTTCTGGGGCCGCCCAGGAGTCGCTGCGAGCCGCAGCCATGGGCCGGGCCCGGCCG